CGTACACTGGCGCCACTGGGCCCTCTGACCACCATCAGACGATGCAGGTGAAGTGTCTTGTCCAAGGACACAACGAAACTGAAAGTTTTTTTCAAGCCCCAAAAAATTTTCATAAACCGCCTGGATATACGAAATCTCACCCAATTTGAACCAAAGTCTATCGATCTCTTAGGCCATAAATCTAAAGAAATTTTTTTTTTACCCATTGACGGCCATACTAAACTGCCAGATTGGGAAACATCCAAACCTGGCAACAATGCACGTAAGACGGGAATTGTTAGCTTTTGGATGCAAAACCCATCATGCACCGCAACATATTTTTGCAAATTATTCGAAAATAAATTTGCTAAATATAAGAGGAACATCATAGTTTGGTTTAAAGAAAGCATTTTAGTTTTATTATAATTTACTTTGTTGCAAGGATTTCACAGTTTGAGGAAATAGGATTTTAGAGTTTGAAGAAATATAAAATTACACCATAGATACAGTAAGGAAGAGTTATTTACTGTCACAGGTAGGTGCTTCGACCGGAGCGTAAGTGTTGGGGCCGCTATGATTTAATGAGGGCCGGCCCTCGCACGCTGAAATTAGAACCGGCCCACCGGGCAAATGCCCGGTATCCCAGATTACCAGTCCCAGCCTGGCTGTTTCCATATCAGCATTAACTCATGTCTTGGAATAAAAAATGTTCGGCTACTTTTGCAAGAAATGTAGTTCATACAGTTCAGTGGCAATTGTTGCTTCAAAATAGAAACTATGTTTGTGGTAGTTATCTAAAAAAAAAAAGTCATTATCATTTTAGATCATGATGACTTTACATATGAAGAAACTGCTAAGATCAACTACTGTGAGAGAAGAGGTTGAGCTGCAGTAAAAGAGATGTCAGGGCATCCAACTCTATCTTAGGGGTGTGTGAAAGTCTCTATCCACCAACACAGGTTGCTATATATTGGCAGCAGATGAACAATAAACTCTGTCAAAAAGTCAACTTCTGCATAAAATAGAAGGAAAGTGATTGAATTGTAATTGTAAACTATATGGAACATCACTAGTCTGAAAAATGGAAGTTTTAAACCACCATGAGTAAAAGGTGGGATTTTTTTCTATTCAGAGGAAGTGGTATAATGACCAGTTATATCCAAGGACACTGTCAGGAATGAAGATTTAAACCAAAACCCATCCAAGAGCAATTTGTTTGACAAGCCCATACACAATTTGCTTAAGATCTGTGGATTTACTCATACGATGTAGCACTGTGTTGCATGGCAAAAACGATTAAGTCCCTGAAAGACCAAAACATTAACTTGCAGGTTGTAATTTAATACGAGGCTAATAAAAGCAGATGTGATTTATAGCTTGAGCCAAAATGCAGAGCACTTAATAGGAGAAGAACGGATGAGGTTTGGTTTTCTCCTGCTTCCTGTTCTCTGCTTTCTTCAATGTCATCCTTTGCCTCTAAATTAGGTGCTTTGTACTCTCCTTCTATTTTTTGTTTGTGTTTTTCAAACTCTCTTTTCCTTTTCTGAAAGGAATCATGATTCCTCAAGCATTTTTCTCATCACAATAGAGTGATTATATTGATTGAAAATAGGTGAAATTCTACTTTATTTGTTTGGTAACACAGGATCCACACTCGGTTTATCATTTTCAGACAGTGTCACCTCATGTTTTGGTGGACTAGAAAAGGTGTGGGTTTAAATCCAGACACCTGCCACACTTATGTCGATATGCCTATGGATGACAGTCGTTAATTGATATTACATTATAAATCAACATCTCCGTCTGTGAGCATCTCGTAGAGTACAGCTTGATCTACCACCTGTAAATGGTGTAGGGTGAAAGTGAGAAGACTTCCAGCTATAGTGGCAGTCTGGGCATGGAGAGAATTAGAATCCCACTGCAGCCTAGTTTCTGCTGAAGCCGATTATCCCGACACATGCAGCAAGTATAAGTCACCAGACGCGACCCTGTTTCAGCTCTTCCAGACAGGATCATCCTTTTTTTCTGTGGGATCAGCTCTCATATGAGACAAAACTCCTACTTGGCATTAGGAAGACTGAGAGGCAGTGTCACAGGTGCAGAACCTGTGGGTGTTCAAATATATGTCATACTTTGCTCGAGGCGAAATAAGCAATCTGATTGTACCGCAGGTATGTGGTGTTTTAAAATCACAGTAAAAAAATAAACAAAACTAAGGTTAGATTGTTTCCCCTCCGTTCTTTGACACGGGACAAAAACGCTGTCAAGCTAAATCGGATTAACTGAATTAAAAGAAACACAAAGCTTTTTGAGGGTTGAAGTGGATTGGGGATGCATCTCACCAGTGGTTTCTTTGCTCTGGCTCAGCTCGAACTGAATGCCTCGGTAAAGCTCCCGGGAGATCAGACCGTAGGCTATTATCATCACCACGCCCGGGATGAAGAACAGAATGAAAAGCAGCAGAACATACCTGGAAAACAGACAGAGGAAGGCATTGACAACACCTACAGAGATGCAGAAGTTTTCTCAGATAGCCTGTATACCTTGCAGCATGATTCTGTTCTTTAGCCATGCTGGAGGCCCTGCAGATGGCTCCAAAAATCCCCACATAGCCCTGCTCTATGAGGGTACTCCAGCACCCTGCAGCATAAACTCTAACCTATTAAAATGTTTACTTACATCTCAGGGGGGCTTCTAGCTGATGGAACATTTTTATGTATCAACATATTTCTCACCGTGCTGCAGCTTTAGTGGGAGACAGTTATGAGGCAGATTGATTGCATAAGGATTCCCTCTAGAAGCATCCTTCCTTTTCTGTACACCACATGGGGATGAGGGTGATATTTATTCTGCTTTCAAAACCAGGCCTTTGGGATTCAGCAGCACTAATGTTAAAAAGGTTTTTTTTCCCCCCTTTTTAGCCTGCTGTTGAATATGACATTCTGAAGTCAGACATAATTTAAGACCGGCATCAATTTCAGCACCACAATGAGTTCATTCAGCTCACATTAAGTTTGGAGGTTTTGCTGACATTTCTGAGGGACATATACAGCAGATTCTAATATTAACAGAGTGCAGGTTCATGCAGGATCTGTGCAAACTAGATTTTAGACCTCCCCGGATGAGTATTCACACCTTATGAAGTTTTCTTTGTTTTATCACATTACTGCCACAGACTTAATTGTATTTTATTGGTATTTGCATGTAACAGGCCCATAGGCATTTCTTTAAACCCCCCTCGAAGGTCAGTACTTTCTAGAAGCATCTTTGACTAAAAGTCAGTAATTTGGACGTTAATCTACCAACTTTGCAAACATAGAGATAACATTTTTACTCAAAATACACAAATTCAGATAGATTGGATGAAGATTTATATTATAAATTTCCATCTGGATTGAAGTTTGAACTTTAACTCAACTGTTTAGCTCTAGGGAAACCTAGGGGTGTTCTCCTTTGCTTGGCTCCATCTTTCTTCTTGTCAATCTTTACCAGCTGCTGTGCCCCACAGCATGATGCCGCCACCATTGTGGTTATGTATGGGTAGTCTTCTTTTGGTTATTTGCCCTGCATGATTTTCCTCTGCACATTTTTGGGTCGACAATTTGCATGCCGTCCCAAAAGAATCATTGGCATTGGATGTGATTGTGTTCTTTTAAACTAAATGCATGACTTCTTATTACAGACTTATAGAGTGCATCTGTAATACTTACCCCACCTGAGCTGAGCACATCTCTGCAGCTCCTCCAGAGCTGCCTGTTACTACTGATGTGTTCCCTTGGTAAAACAAGCTTCTCAGGCCATTACAGATCAGTTGGACTCTATTTTACTAAAATAGATTAACTAGATTTTATTTTCAGATCTGCATCTGATGATCACAAAAATTTACAAGGTAGAAAAGGTAGGAATACTTTTCCAAGTCCCCTAATATTATGTTGGGCCTGATAAATCTACTGCAGGTCATCTTTCGCAGCTCCTTGTCCTGTTTGGCAACTGCTCACTGCACTTGTATCATTTAAACAGTTTAAACTATGTTTTTTTAACTGCTCTTCTCGTACTGTGTAAACCTTTATAGCCTTATCTGATCATGAATTGTATTTGCTTCTACAAATATAGTCTGGCCATTGTGATTAATGAAACAGGGAAACCGGAAAGCACTGCACTATTAGGATGAAAAAAAAGGGGTGTCAGCCGTCACTTTGATCAGTACAAGTCTTTGCTTACATGCAGAGGATCCCCTTCTTTACAAAGGATCAGCCAGCGCATAAAAGCAACACCAAAGAAGAAGAGGCAGTGTTTCATTTGCTCTGTGATATTCTAATGTCTTCCTGTGCAGCACTCTGAACTCTTATTCACTTCTGGTTTAAAGGGAAGACTTCAAAGTGTCCCATCAGCATGCTGTTTGATAATCTGAAATACTTTTTAAACTAAAGCTTTCTGCAACTCGAGGGAGTGCAGGAACTGCATTAATGTACAGATATATCTTTTTTTTTTATACATATATATGTATGTTTGGTTTCAAAGCAGAGAGGTAGATCTGAACTACAGGAATAGATGAGGGGAGGAAAAACAAGATTATTGAATATTAATAGCTAACTGACCTTTTGCTCAGCACCTAAAGGCTATATGGTCATCAACCTGCAGAAATGTGTTTGCTTTAAATGAATCAGCAGAGAGAGAGAAAAAAAAAAAAAAATATGTGTTAAACATCTGCTTTACATAATTACAGTTTTCCCACAAGCTGATGCAGCTGAGAGGTCGAACAAAAAATAATAATAACTTCAACCGGAAGTGTAAATAATGCATATTTTACAAAGTATATTTTAAATATGATCCGTGCTAAGTTTAAATCATCATGATACTATGTTTTTTTTTTATTTGCAAGACATGATTCGTATGTATAATCATTTATATTTGTAATATATTTGTAAAAAACCATGGAATTGTAGATAAAGTCCGTATTATGATAGCTGAAGGATTATATCATGTAGATGTTATTTATTCATCTGAATTTACAAAGGTGTATTTTATGTAGTTTGTTTAAAAAAATTAGATTGACTATCTAGGTGCAGCAAGAAAAAATAATGCATAATACTGTTATCATTTGTGAAATGTGGGTTATTTTGGATGTGTTCCAATGGGCTTCGTATGCAGAATATATAGGCTATATTGTGTGATACGTCTTTCGTAATTGGAGCTCATAGAGCAACATGTTTGACATGTGAAAATCATATAATGTGTTATGTCATGTGGTAAAAATGTGTAGTGGAATGAAATGTTTTGCATGTGGAAAATATATGGAGTGTAGATGACCAACTGTTAATTTATGGAAGTAAATTTGTGTCGCTGGGATTTGAATTTAAAATGCTACTGAAATTTAAATGTTGTATGTTTGTACTTACTGTTTCAGTGTTAAAATATATTCAGAACACATTTTTGACCTAAAAAAAAAATTCATTGTCATTATTTCTACAAAGTTGAAATTTCATTTGTTATTTTCTCTTCAAGTTAAAAGTTCACATTACTATTTCAAAGTGATTACATTTTCAATACTTATTTTTTAGTTTAATTTTTCAGTGTTAAAAAAATCTGCATACGGATTTTTCTGCAAATCGCTCATATGGAAGAAAACTAGCATCACGGAGCCGGTCATGCAAGCTAACGCTAACTCAACGGTGAGTTTATTACTTTCATTTTCTGTAGTTGAGTTAGCGTTAGCTTGCATGACCGGCTCCGTGATGCTGATTTTCCTTCCGTATGAGCGGCACATACATCACGTCACGTGACTAAGAAAAAGTAACGGGATTGGCTGGGTGTTGGACGCCACAATCCATTGCTAATGTCTGTGACCTGAAGTAACCCTTCCCTTTTTACACTGAATTTAGACGCCGAATTTAAGACAATGAAATAGAGCCAGTTGAATCTCGGGAGGCTAAAAATATTGAGTTTGAATTTTGAAAGGTTGAATTTTTTTATATGCAGATTTTTTTAACACTGAAAAATTAAACTGAAAAGTATTAAAAATGTAATCACTTTGAAATAGTAATGTGAACTTTTAGCTTGAAGAGAAAATAATAAATGAAATTTCGACTTTGTAGAAATGATGACAATGAATTTTTTTAGGTCAAAAATGTGTTCTGAATATATTTTAACACTGAAACAGTAAGTACAAACATACAACCTTTAAATTTCAGTGGCATTTTAAATTCAAATCCCAGCGACACAGATTTACTTCCATATTAATTATTGGACTGTATAGCGTTGTCATTCTACCAGGCCAGCCACCTACACAACAAAGATGGCTACCTTTCATGAGGTTATCAGTCAGCTAAGCTGCGGCATTTATCACTTTATTTAAAAACTCTGATGGAATCAATGACTTTATTAGTCGTGTGGAAGCTCTGACAGAAAATGTTTCTTTCACCTGCAAACATCATGTTATCCTTGATTGTCCTCGATAGAATCTGCAGCCCCTGCTTTGGTAGCAGGCATTCAACAGGAGAAGTGAATTCAGTCTCAATCTCATTGCTGTGGTCATTTCTGGATGTCTGCTGAAAATACTACAGTTTGTGTTCTGATTCTTACACAGCTCAGGTCTCAAACATTCATAATTTTTTAACCTGACTCCGCCAGATGGATTTGCTCTGCATATCCATCTGGAAACCTTCAGTTGAAGTAATTTTGGGAAGGGGCGAAAATACTGCTTAGCTGATTGGCCTATGTTGGTGATAGACGGGCCAAATAAACCAATCAGATCAACGAAGCATATGACGTAACAGAGCGACGACGAAATCACAATCACAAGCCAGGCTATTCTTGCCGAAACCAGTCGGGAGAAGAGCAAAAACATCTTTTCCTCTGAGAAAAGCCTCCAGAGCAGTGTTTTGCTCTTCTTTCAGTGAAGAAATACTCTGTAATTCCGATAAAACTTGCTCGATGGCCACGCTAACGCCAGTTTCATCGGCTGAAGCTGCCATGTTCTTTAGACTGAACTGTCGCGCTTCTCGTTGCGTCACACCTCCACCCGCCTCAAAGCCAACGCTGATTGGACGTTCATTTGGTGAACGGCTCCAAATTTTCTTTAAAGGAGAGTCTCCAGACTGATCAGCGAGTGAAACCTTGAAAGCTCGCGAGATCAGGATGGTCTCACGAGGCTAGCGGAATATTCCATCCAGGTCTCACTCAAAGGAGGGTTTTTTTTTCTTTTTTGTTTGCGCAGATCAACTTTTGTAGGAACATGCTCAGATGTACATATACAACACCGTATAGACAGGGCAGAGGCTGACATTTAAAACCTCCTGCTGTACATCGCTATAAGCAAAGGTTGTGGACTCTAGAGGTGCGTTCACACCAAAAACGAAACCTGTTAAAATTTCGCCAGTTTCATCTGCTTTCACTTGCCTTGAAATTTGCACTGCGGGCGAAAGACGCCACTATGCCATCGAGTCTGCTGGTCATTGATTTCACCTCAAC